GTGCCCCCCCCCCCCCCCCCCCCAACACCACTCCCCTCCCCATGAGCCTCGCCATGTTCCTCAGCGCTGGTACTGGACCAAGCTCACCACAGGGCCCAGCATGGGAGCGTAAAGTAACGTGGAACACGTGGCCCCAGGGTGTGCTGAAAGTGTGTCTGCTTGGTAACGCATTCCCCCGGAGGGACCCGCGCGGTTCTTTAGCGAGCTGATCTGTAAGCTGACTCCTGGCCCTTTGGCAGGTGGACGACATCCTAGGAGAAGGCAGCGATGACAGCGACAGCGAGAAGAAGAAGCCGGAGGAGCAGGAGGAGGAGCAGGATGGGGCACCTCAGCCCAGGGAGCCCAAGGCCCCAGCAGCCCAGAGGGGGCACACACTCCAGTCGAAGTCACCCAGCGAGAGGAGTGCAGCGGAGGCCCGGGGGCCCAGGTGAGGGTGGGCCCGGGGAGGGTGGGTGAGAGTGTGGGTTGGATGAGAAGGAGGGCGGCCCTGGGGGAGGGCTCGGCAGGTGTAGGGTCCAGGCCCCCACGCTGTCCCCGGGAGTGGCGGCACCTTCTGCTCAGACATGCTCACTCCACAACCACAGGCAGGTCTCCACGGGGCTCACAGACCAGATGGCGGGATCGTTATCACCCGTAGCAGTCGGGGGCCGGGGACCCGAAGGTGCTGCGTGGTCCTGAGGGCCAGGGTCACTCTCCTCTTTCTGAAACAACGCACACACAGCTTCTTTACACGTGAACATTTCTGAGGGTTACATGGTGAAGATGTGGTTTTTATCCAGACTTTATGGTTTCGGTTGTTGCTCAGGCAGCTGTTTGTCCTTCAGGAGGGGCCGTGTCTCTCCCACATGCTGCTGCGTTTACAGTGTGATCCAGGCAGCCCGCCCCTCCATCTTGGTTTCACCGGGAGGGCGCCGGGCCCCGTGTGTCAACCGCAGCAGCCTCCCCCGAGCCCTGGCAGGAGCACCTTGCTATGCAGGTAGCGGGCCTGGGCCCATGGCATGGTTGACACGTGGTGACACTTCCTGTTTTTCATGGCGCCCCCACTATCCCACCAGCTCACCCAGAACTGAATTTGATTCCGCAGGCCTTTTATTGGCTGAGTCCCTTCACGCCCTTCAGGTCTGACCCCTAAGCTGTGTGTGCCCAGGTGAGTGACAGCCACGGCCAGGCAGGAATTCCAGCCACAGGTGGGGGCAGATTGTCCCTGTTCCAGCTTCAGCAGTTTCTCAAGCACACGCACACCTCCCTCGAGGTGGCCACTCTGAGCTGAGCGGCTCTGAGGCCGAGCTGCCCAGCTGACGTGATAAATCTGTGCTGGGTGACGACGAGCCACACACAGTCACTCTGCTCGCTGCGTCTCCATTTCTGCAAGCATCGCCTGCGTTTCTGGGGAAGGGGCCTTGCCGAGTGGTGTCCCAATGTGAGGTGTCATCTCATCGATCTGTGGCACGTGCTCCGGTTAGCAGTTTTTAACCTGGCGCTGTCTTCTCTCTCAGGAAGAGAGGGACAAAGTGTTTTCTCAAAGACCCGGAGAGGACTGGCGCGGCCTGCAGGCTCTGTCCTTTGGGGCGGAAGTGGACATGGGCACTCCAACTGGGCCGAGTGCCGCTGAGCTGAGCACACTGTGTTTCATTTGAAATTCAGTAAAAAGTGCTATTGGGGTTTTTGTTGTTTGCGTGTGGATTGTTTCGGTTCATGACGACTTCCCCATGCGATGGCACGGCCCGTGCTGATGCCACACGTGCGGTTGGCAGTACATTGTGCTAATCCCGCGGGCCAAGCTGTTCTGAGGAATCTGAATGCCACTGAGCTTGACAGTGTGTTTTCTCGGAAGTAGAAAGGGGTGTGTTTTTGCTTCTCTGCCAAGAACTAACTCGTTCCTCCTTCAGATCAACAGCCACCACATGCCTGTTCTGTGCACACGGCAGCCGGGCTTCGGCTCCCGGAGGTCAGTCCCTGAGATAAGTCGGTGCATTTGGAAAGCATTTGCCCAAACCAGAGCTTTTCCAGTGGGCGCTGCACTGGCCTTTGCCTGGAGGTGTGGCTTCAGGGTGACCTGAAGGTCACATAAGACTTCCTTCCGATTCTTTGTAGAGTCGGCGGCTGAGTGAAGACGTCCGGTCAGAAGGGTGGGAAGGCACAGTTTCCATCGTGACCTGTGGACAGTAGTCACAGCCGTTTCCCTCACCAAAGACTGTTCTCCGAGTGCCAGGAAATGTCCGTCTTGGCGCCGTGGCCGTCCCATCCAGTCGGTGGCGCACAAGGAAAACTGCCCCATCTTCAGGGGCTGAATTCCTGGCACGCGTCCAGCCCACCCACCTCCGTTGAGCACCGACCCCGTGTTTCCATGTGGACACAGGTGTGGAAGGTGTTCCAGGTGGTGGATTGATCTGGAAGGTTCGCTTTCATACACTGGGGGTTTGTCATCTCTAAAATGGAGGAAACAGCACTTCCTCAGTGAAGTTCTCACTCGCTCCCCCACTGGAGCCGTGGTTACGCACCGTCGTGCCTGCTCCTGCCCTGCCGTCTTCGGTGCACCCCTGGGCATTCATCACATCTGTGGACACAGTTGCACTGTGTCCAGTCTCTTTTGCCACAAGCAGTGCTGTGGGGCCTGCCCCATGCACTTGAGCGCATCACTCGGTGGATTTCTGAAAGCAGAATTGCCGGTCGAAAGGTGTTTGCACTTTTAACCTGTAGCTGCTGACGGTTGTCCTCTGTGGAAGGTGGTGCCAATCAGACTCCCCTCAGAACAAGTGACTGTGCTCATTGTCCACACCTGCTCAGCGCGACAGATAAAAAGTGGTGTCGTTGTTTTTCTGCCTTTGTCTTTCTAAGGGCTGTGCCCATGCCCGAGGCTGAGCCCAGAGAGCCCACACTTTGGGGACAGCGACTTCACCAAAACAGTCCAGCCAGTCACTAAACAGCAACAGTAACCAGCCTGCGGGGAGGGGAGACCAGGACCCAGGGCTGCTACAACATGGGAACTAAAATGTCCACTTTCATTTTATGGGAGGAGAAACATTTCGTAGAGACAGCAGAGTCTGACCCACACAGGAAGACAGCCGCAGGCAAGCAGGTGTCGGAGGTCACAGACCGAGGCTTCAGACAGAATGAATTACTGACAAGGCCTCATCTAGCAGACGCTGTCAGACAGGAGCGCTGCAATTGAAAAGTGTAACACCTAAATGGAAATCCACCAGAGGGCCCCAGCGTTGATTTGAACCTGCAGAAGAATTAGCAGACTTGGAGATGGATCGATGGAGATCATGTGATCAAAAGGCACAGACTCAGGTGTGGGAATCGACCAGGATCCAAAATCCACAGACGCAAACACGCTGCCCAGTGCCACCTCGGGAGCAGAGCCTGCCAGTCAGATTCAGGTGGCCCTTCCTCTGCCCCAGACGTGACCTCCCAGAGACGGGAGACAGACCACATGGCCACGCATCACACTATAGAGTGACCTTATGGATCCCATGTCCCCGCCGCAGGTGGGCGGGCCAGGACCTTGAACGAGATCTGTGATGGGGACAGATGCCTGTATCCACATCCACCCAGGGCATGTTCTTTACTCTGCAGGTGCAGAGCCCTCGGCAAAAGCCTTCTGACCTTGCTGGTAGTGTTTCTTCTGTTTCGTAAATAAATTACAAGGTTTTCCTAACATCAGCAGTTGTGGTTTCAGACTGTGGAGCTGCTGCAGTATGTGTGTTTGCTTACACTGCACATGTATGCTGCATATAGTTACGTGTTGTGTGTGATTGAAACATGTTACATTGTTGTATTACATGTATGCTGTTCTTGCACACATGCTGTGTTTGCCTAGCTCTGTACCGTACCTGTCACAGGTAATCACCATCTGAGCAGTCTGTCCAGGAGACCTTTCGGGCCTGTGACAGGAGCTGCGCTGTGCGGTCCCGTGTCGGGGTAAAGTCAGGACAAGGTGGGTTCCTCAGGTACCGTTTTCAAGCTGTGGCTGAATGTCCGTCTCGGCGCAGTGGGACCTCTGGGCCTGCAAGGCCTCAGGGAGAGCCATGCACTGTTCACATCTCACCGCATCCTCTTCAAGTCTGCAGGTTCGTCAGGGAGCTGAGTGTTCTGCAGGGCCACAACAAGGGTGATAGCGCCCTCGCCGGTGTTTCTCAGTGGTTGGCGAGTATGGGAGGCAACCAGTCTCTCTCTCCCACCCTCCTTCCCTTCTCTCTAAAAATCAATGGAAAAAATATCCTCGGGTGAAGATTAGCAAAAAATGAAAATTTAAAAAAAGAAGGGTGATGACGTTGGCTGGTTATGTAATGTGCCGGTGTGGTTGCAGTTTATTGTTTATCCAAGTAGTTTTGACAGCTGCCTGAGGAAACAGTGGGCTGCCAGGGCGCCACCTGGGATGGCCTCTGTCGAGTCTGTAAGACTCGCCCATCTTCCCTGGGGCCTGGTGGCCTGCCGTGTGTGTGGCTCTTTGTATAATCAGAGCCAACACCGTCCGGAGCCCTGTGGAGAGCACTTCGTCCCGGCTCTTAGGTGGAAGGTAGTCCAGGGCCCCATGGCCGTGCATAGCACCCGCCATGTGTTAGGAAGAGAGGTGGCAGCTCCAAGGTGGGCTGGACAAGCACGTCACTCATCCTGGCCCAGGACCTGGCCTGCCTGCCTGCCATCCACCCGTCTGCAACTGGACCCACTCCGTGTGGGCCGATTGAGGCCTGAAGCCACCCAGAGTGACGAGGCCCCGCTCCACCTGAGCTCCTGCCGGGGCAGGTGCTGGCCTGCCCTGAGCCCTGTTCCAGCCGGTTTGCTCCACAGCAGCCAAGGCCTTGGAGCTGACAGGGAGCACGGGCCTCTCACTCCTCTGCCGCTTTTCTTTACGTCCTTTATGTTCCCTGGGGTTGAGCATGTTTACTGTTCGCCGGCAGTGGGTCTTTGTTGTAGTTGTTTCTTCTGTCGTCCAACCACATCTCGGTCCTTTGAAATACGCATGAAGGAAGCAGAGGGAGCCTGTGTTGTGGTCCTGGGTCGGTGCCCCTGCCTGTGTCCTCCACCTCAGAACTGTGGTTTGCTCCCATTTTGAAACTGGAAGCCCCTTGGCATTTGCAAGCCCCTGGCAGACGGACGGGTGCTGTGTGGGAGCATCTCACAGCAAGTGCTTCTCTTTCAGGGGCCACAAGAGGAAGCTGAATGACGACGACGCGGCCAGCGAGTCCAGCAGGGAGTCCAGCTGTGAGGACGAGGAGGGGAGCAGCTCGGAGGCGGACGAGATGGCCGCGGCGCTGGAGGCGGAGCTCGACCTCATGTGACCTGCACGGCTCCCCAGGGTGGACGCACACGTCACCTCCCCTCCTGTGACACCTCGACGTCCTGTGCTGGCCCTCACATGGGGTTTCCTTCTCTCCAGGAAGACGTGTCTATTCGCAAAGCTCCACATACAGAAACATTATTTTGCAGAAATGGGTGTTTTGAGAAGTTTTACTACCGGAAAGTCTACTTTTTTCGTGACCCTGACAGGAAGCGTGGGCCATGCCAAAGATCTTGTGGAGCTCGGCCGCACAGGACTGTGGTTCCTGCCGTGTATAGGGGCCTGGAGGGCGTTTTCCTTTAAATTCCACGGCATACCATTCAGGGCGAAGGCAGGGCTCTGACGAGACAGACATGGCAAGAACCTGGCGTCCTGTGCTTTTCACACTGAAGTTACCAGATGTGCAGGGGTTTCTGAGAGGCTGTGTTCACGTGTGGACAGGCCTGGGCTGCCTCTGCGACCCTCAGGGCTCGTTTCTGAGCGACACCCGGGTCCCTGAAACTTGTGTCCCTATGTTTCCGGGACCAGGTTCCAGCACAGTCCGGCGTCCGCTCCTGCTCCTCAGATCTGATGTAAAGTTTTGTATATTTCATATCTGACCCACCAAACAGGTGTCTCCTCCATTTAATAAAAGCCCTTTTTGTAAGCTCTTCTGTCTGATGTGTTATGGCTGCAAGCGGGCTATCCTCCGTACCTCAGGGGGCGCCCGCCACTCCGAGCCTGTCCCTGTCCCTGTCCCTGTCCCAGCTTGTAGAGCAGGGGACTCGGTGTGCTGGGAGGTGCCAGGAGGTCCCAGCCCTGGGAGTTTGTTGTTGGGCAGCCATGGCTGAGGGTCTCCGTTACGGGGACATTTTGTGCAGCAAAGCACGAAGAATGTGGAAGGTCACTGGTTTCTGATTATTTGGTTTGTGAAACCAGATGTGAGAACCTATGGAAGCAGAGGGCAGCACTGCAGCCCTCGCTGGCAAGTTGTGGAATGGGGTTCGTTGTGCACACGTGGCAGCCAGACATCGGGTCATAGGGTGGCCTGTCCTCAAATCCCGTTGTCCCCAGACCTCTGGGCTGACCCGGTCAGCACGACCGGCAGGTTCTGGGGTGAACCTTCTCGCTTCCTTTGAGGCAGCCCCTTGGTGTCCTCCTCTGTGAACCCTGCCAGACGTTGGCTACAGTGGAGGACACCAGAGACCAGGAGTGTGTGGCCTGTGATGCGCCTGCCTCGCGAGGCGGCAGGGCGGTTGCACGAGGGACCGTGACCAGGCTGGTCTCCCACCTAAGAGCCTGTGAGGCTCCTTCCCCAAGCTGCTCAGGCTGTCGCATTTGTGAGCATCGTGCCCCCGGACACCATGCAGAACTCTCCCCTCCCCAGGTGTGACTGTGGGACTTCCAGACCGTCCTCATCCAGAGAATCCCTCCACTTTGCATGAAGGTCATTTTCTTTCTTCCACACTTGGGGGAGGACGTGGCAGGCCTGGTGGCTCCAGTGCCATTCTTTGAGGCCAAGTGTGGGTCTCACTGACAATTTCCAGGCAGCTGGCCCAACCCCAGGGTGTCCTTGTCCCTGTTCTTCTGGGCGTGTCTCTGGAGAAGCCCCTGTTCTGAGGGGCTCAGGCAAACGCCAGCAATGCAGCCTGTGCTCCTGGCTCAAACGCAGGCCGGGAGCCGGGAAGGAGCCCGAACAGGAGAGCAGGTCCCAGCGCTTTGGGGTGGGGCAGCCGGTCCTCGGAGTGTCTTCTGTTTTCAGTTTTGTGACCCGTTGATATGACTGGGTGGAGCTGTTTCACCCCAGGCAGGACACTGTCTGCTGTCCTGTGTCTCAGCCGCAGAGACAAACAGCACCCCGGACGCGGCTCCAGACCCTCTGGGACACACCAGCGGAGAGGAGGCGGGAGTAAGCCTTTCCCACCTCATGTGCGCACACATGTACACATGCACACACACCCAGGGGACAGCTGGGGCTCAGGCTGTCCCTGCAGCACAGAGCATGTGAGCCTCCATGGGAGCCTGGTGAGTTTCAGCCGCCTCAGCAGACTGACGGAAGTGCTCACCCTCTGGAGCCCTGCCCCCAGCAAGCCTGGGGCAGACAGGAGCTTAGGCCACTGGAGGGTGGAGGCTGTGGCTCCTGCTACCTTAGACCCGGGACTGGGGCCTCAGGGAGCCCCACCCTGGCGATCACCTGACATGCCCAGTCAACCTTGCGGAGAGGGCTGTGAGCACCCACCAGGTGGAGGACCAGATCGAGGTGAGTGGGGGCAGCTGCCTCTCCCCTTCTCTGTGGATGGTCTCAATCCTAGACGAGGCAGCCGCCCTGTGAGAACCAAGCGTCCAGTTCACCACACATTCACTGAGCGCTGAGCCAGGCGCTGGGTCCCTGGAAGACGTGCCCCACCCGGGTGCACAGGGCAGGGAGAGACCACAGAGGCCGGCCCTGCCCAGCTGCATGTCTGGGAGCGACAGCTACTGCCCGGTTCACAGCCGTGAACGTTATTGCTGAGGAGCTGCCTCCCCTCTGGGGTGGGGATAGTAAGTGGCCTCCTGGTGGCAGCCAGATGTGCAGATGGCCTGAGGCGCTGAACCTCCCACTGACCTAGTGTTCTGGGGCTCTGCCCAGCTGCGCCTGGCCCTGTGGGAAGACGGGGAAGCAGGGCGCCCAGCAGGTTCCCGGGGGAGGGAGGCACGCAGGCCGGAGGGAGGGCGGGTGGACAGGCAGGTGGACAGGTAGACAGGCGGCCGCAGGTGAGGCTCCCGCC